ACTTTGCAGATATGATTAAGAATCTTAAAATAGGAAAACTGTCCTGGATTATCTGGGTGGGCCCAGTGCCTGGAGCCTGAACTCTATCCTGCCTGGGCTCTAAACCTTTTTGTTGGGGAGGGGGAGGAGAGCTCTAAACCTTTTGCAGTCTTTTGAAATGGTAGCTACTGTAGGAGGGGTGATTCTTAATTATGGAGCCACTGAGGCGCCCCATCACTAATCTTTTGATGTATGGTATCCTTAAGAATTTTCTCAGATTGTGGAGACATTTCAAAGCATTCTTTGTTTTTAGGAAACAAAATTAATTAAGGAGCTTACACTGAGAGGCATTCCCCAGGCTGTGAGGATTCAGCCTGCCCTTGATAATTTCCTTTCCTCTAGAGAAATGGGTGCTTGTGGATGACATACAGAAACTATTTTTTGGGATGCCTGGGTGGCTCAGTTGGTTGAGCGACTGCCTTCAGCTCAGGTCATGATCCTGGAGTTCCGGGATCGAGTCCCGCATCGAGCTCCCTGCTCGGCAGGGAGTCTGCTTCTCCCTCTGACCCTCCCCCCTCTCATGCTCTCTCTCTCTCTCATTCTCTCTCAAATAAATAAATAAAATCTTAAAAAAAAAAAAAAAGAAACTATTTTTTATTCTATTTTGTAGAGTATTAAGAAAAATTATTCAATGCTTGGAAATGAAGCAGGAGATACTTTGTGTTTTCAATGTTCTAAGAAGCATTGTGGAGCAGGCCCACCCCAAAAGTACTGATTCTCTAGTGGTAGTGTGCTTTTGTTTGACTTATCACTGGCTCTTGATCCGGGCTCAGGTTCTATAAACGTGGATGCTCTTTTGGATTGGTCGATTGCAAATGCTTTTTGGAAATGAAAGATTGAAGGGATTTCTTGTCTAGTAGAAAGAATAGCTTCAAAGTTTATAGCTTATGGTCCTGTAGGTTGGGTGACCAACTGTTCCCATTTACCTGGGGACGGAGGGACTTCCCAGGACAAAGAACTTTTACTGCTAAAACCAGGACTGTCCTGGACAAACCAGGGCTATTGCTCATCTGACACGCAAGACATTAGCTAGTTTGGGAGCTGACTTGACCATCTTCTTTTGATGTGCTGTCTTCCATTGGCTGGAAATACTTTGGTCTCTCCCATAGGCCTCTGAACCAGTTTTCTCATACTGCTGTTCTGCCATTAGTAATAAACAATCCAAATTAATAAATAAAACTAAATAAATAAAAAGGGATAAATAAATCTTTGACATACACTTTATATTTGTGTAAGAGTCATGCTTGTTAGGGGTGCCTGGCTGGCTCCGTCCATGGAGCCTGCGACTCTTGATCTCAGGGTTGTAGGTTCAAGCCCCACCCTGGGTATAGAGATTACTTAAAAATAAAACTTAAGGGGTGCCTGGGTGGCTCAGCTGGTTG